ATATATATATTTAGATCATTTTATCTTTATAACTGTTTTCAAACTATTTTTTCTTTATCTCTCCCACCATTCTTTTTATAACTTTTTTAAATAATAAAAACACATAATACCTCCCGACTATTATTAATAAAGAGAAAAAAATTAGAAGAAAGTAACCAAAAATATTTTGGAAAACGCGGAATTTTGTGACTCGTGTTTTTTAATTAATAAATGTTATTTATATATTTATATTTTTTTAATCTATACTTTTGGTAGTGGGCAAAAATAAGACGGAAAAGAAAAGGGGAAAAAAAAAAACCTCGTTGCTATATTAATAAGAATGAATACTACAATTATTATTTGTGCAAGAGCTAAGTGTAAATGGGTATTTATTTATTTATATTATAATTCACGGTTATATGAATGAACATTATAATACTTTTAGCTATACTTTAATCATTTTCAATTTGTCATCCCTGATATTGCATGTTCGCCTCTAAATCGCCTAGCATCATTCTTCAATAAAAAATTAAATTTAAATCCCTTCTAAGATAAATGAATTTTGAATTACTATTTTTTAAATGGATTTTTTTTTCGTTTTTCTTTCTCATTTTGATATATGTCTTTTATGTTTTAATAATAAATCAACTAAATATATTTCTTTAATTAACTATTTTCGTATGAATTGGGTGAGAAGTGCGATCATCTATTATTTATTTTTTTTTGCCCAATAAATGTGTACGAAAGTGTGACGAAGAGAGAGTGAGTTTTAACTCTTTACCTTAAAAGAATCAATAAACGGAACTCGAAGGAAGCTTAATTAAAAGTAAAGGATAATCAATTATGATGTAAATCATAATAAATTATGCAAAATCAACACTGTTATTTCCTATAACCAGAAGTGCAAAATGACAAAAAAAAAAGAATTAATTAGCATATTTTTTACGTTTGGTAATAAGTTTCGTACCTTGTCAATCTCAACATCAGTTAATTGATTCAACCCTACAACATAAATGTTCATAAAAATGGTAGCTGTGATGGCCTGAAATTGAAGAACTCATCACAATTAATAATTAATAAGGTTATGTAAAGTAGACTAATAGAATGCATTATCCATTTTTAAGCAACCAACATATTTGAGTGACTACCTGGATCAAGCCAATAAAAAATGTCGGAGAAATATCTGATAATTTCTGCACCGCAAGGAGAGACACAGAAATTATGCTTAACGCCTGTGCAAACACATAAAAAGTAAGCCTTGCTAAACAATTCAGAATATTTCATTTGTTTATGAAACAAGGTGTTTTATACATAAGAGAATTTGATTAACTATTAAAAGAATTGGAAAAATATTTGACTTAACTGTGCCAATGATTGTGTGTGGCCTGGTAAACCTGTAGAAAGCATCCAAATTGTCTTTGACAGAACCCCAAATGCTTTTTGGACTATAATCTTGAGGTTTAGACTCAAATGATTCTCCAACAATTGCATTCACAGCATTACTTCTGGCACGTTCTTTATATGTGGATCCTAACTCAATGCATTTATAATGATGCTTCAAATTATGTTGCTGCTGATACCTAACTATAGGATATTCATTTCGGATTTTCTTAGTTTTATTCCAAGAAGCTTTTGTTAGGTGAGAACCTAGAATATCAATTGTGGAATGTTAGTAGCAGTAAAATAAGAAAATGAGAAAAAAAAATTCTCCATTTGATGAGTACTTCTTTTGTTCAAGCTCTTGAAAGCGACACTCAAAATCACAAATTGCTATTCTACAAAGAAATTTCTTGTTTGCAATACTTGGACAAAATGTTTTAGTTTTCTCGATTAATTCCTCTTCCATATTTTATCAAAAATATTAGAAATAATTAGGCAAACATTCTAGTAATGTCACATCAAATTTTTTCAGAAAAAAAGGACAAATACCTTAAATTTTAAGAAAGATTACACCAAATGTACCAATTTGCATGTCTTACCAGCGGTAAAGGAAGAAGCTAAAGACCCGAGAGGCATAGAAGCCATTTATCCACACTAGCTTTACAAAACTGAGTTCTGACTTTGATTATTCAAACATTGGCTGTCACAGAGAAGGAATGGTCTTTATGATAAGGCTCTCGTCCAAGTATGGAAACGATTCAATCACAAGATACGGTTGTAAGTAAGAAATAACAAAAAATTTGGATGGAAACAATAGAAATAGAAATGATGATAAAAATGGATGTTGTTTGGTGTAAGTGAGACAGAAAAGAAAATTTTGAAGTTAGTTACGTCCACCGTGAAACATTTCCACACTCAAAAGTGATCGATATTGAAGAAATTGGTCCCAATCTTATAATTAACCTACACCACCATAATCTATACTTCTATACTAATATATAAAGAGAATACTTGGATGTGTAACTACTTTTGGTCTTCACTTTTTAATAGACCATTATACCCCTCAAACATAAAAAAAAATTCTTATATATCATTTCTAAATAATTACACATGATCTTTTAATATTTTGTCTATGTATAATTATTAGAGGTACGAAGTGTCTGGACCCTTCTAGTAATAATAATAATAATAATATAAAATTTAAAAATTATATGTAATTCATTTCATTAATTTAAATTAATGTATAGAATATTTTTATAATTATCTGTCAATTTTGAATTAATGAAATAAAATATTAAATAATTACAATTTTTTTAAAATTATAAACTTGATCAACATATTAAAAACTTTAAAATTTGATATAAAATATGAATTATAAAATAGAGTAAGTATAGGTAAACTTACTTATAAAATAAATGAATCTCTCATTTAATAATAATAATAATAATAATAATAATAATAATAATAATAATAATAATAATAATCTATGTTATTTGTGTGTGACACGTGGATCTCCCTTTTCAATTATTTTTTATTTACAAGATATAATTGATATTTTCATTTAAAAAAATATTCAGTCTAACATTATTCAGATTAACGATATGTTGATACATAAATATATTTACTAATAACTAAAATTTCAAAAAATAATAATGAAATATTTCCTCAAGTTTTTCTTCTTTCTTTTTGACAAAAAATATGTTATAACTTTAAACAAAATAATTTATAAATAAAGTAGATCTTGAATTAACATATTAGTTATTGGTGGAAACATGGACTTTATCGCAATAGTTAGATCTAATAAAAATTTAATAGACTTAATTATATTTAATGAAAAATTAAATTGCTCACTTAACTGATATTTATTACTAAAACATTAATGTACTAATTAAAAGTTATTAATGTAATGCTTTATACATATAAATAAATACTTTATCTAAATAATATTAAATGTTATATTTATTAAATAACTATATTCATTAAACTAATAATTAAAAAATAAATTTATTAAATATAGGAATTTTTATCAGAATTTATATAAAACAATTACTAAGGAGGTGTATTGATTTAGGATTTTAAAAGACTTTTTTTGAGTAAAAAAGTTTGTTTGTATTCAATCAGGATTTTTTCACTTAAAAACAATCCAGTAGTATTCAATCTGGATTTTCAAGATTTTTTAAAAAGTCCATTAAAATTCATTGGTATTCATTTGAGACTTTTTACAACTTAAAAACAATCCATTGATATTAAAAAATATAGGGATTTTAAAGGATTGTTGTATTAGAGAGATTTTGAAAGACTTTTTAGTGGTATCTATAATTACCAAATTCATAAAACAATTATATCCAAACCCATCAGATTTTGGAGGATTATTTGAAGTGACTTTTTAAGTGCTTCAATAATTTCCAAGTGAGTTTTTCATCAATTTTTTTTCCTATGCTCATGTCTTCTCCATTTTTTTTCTACTAATAATACTGCACTACTGTTCATATATAATATTGTACTACTATTCTCATTCCATTCCCCTATTTGGTGAAATTCTTGTTCATAAATAATAGTGTCATTGACTTGCTCTATTTTTCTCTCCATTATCTTTAATTGACTTGCTCTATTTAGTTGAATTTGTTTCTCAGATATATGACACAGAAAACGCTTGAAATTTTAACTTTTATAACACGCGTCAAGAAAAGGGAAAACTAAAATTGATATCATGATCTTGTTAGTACCGAAAAATGATATCATAGATACTCGAAATACAGGGGTGCTCGAAATCTTAGGTGATCGAAAAATGGCAAAAGAAGTTTCTGAAGAAGGCATGCGAAGCCTGAAGAGAATCAAGAGATACGCGAAAACATTTTTCGTGAAACTCTCGAAATCCTTGAACCAGGAAAGATGCTGCTCATGAGAAAGGCTCACAGCCTTGCAACCTCTCAAAGTACAAGAAAATCAAAAAGCATGCAAGTATACTTTTCGTTGGTCACTCGAAATCCCAAGGATACGGACATACATGAAAACGCTTCGCAACCTCTCAGAATGAAGAACATAAAGGAGACAAAATTTAAGAGCGGATGAAGAAATCATGGGATAAGTGTCAAAGACTACAGAACAGTTTGTGAAAGTTAATGATGAGCGGTTCCAGGAATTATCCAAAGACGTGCCCAGGAATGAGCCACGACGTGGAAGTTTAGAACAGTTATGCACTTTCGGGGCACGTCAGATACAGTTACCTTTCCCAAATCTTTGTTTATAAATTAAGCGAGCCATGCTCATAGCAAAGGGTCAGAAATCACACACCCACAATACCTAACACGCACTCCTCGCCTGCGCATAAGGCACATCGTGCATACGGGACAACTTTGGGTACGATTTCTCGACCATCTTTCTTTTTTATTTTTTAGCGTAGCATAGCATAGCGTAGCGTAGCGTAGCGTAGCGTAGCGTAGCGTAGCGTAGCGTAGTCTAGTCATCTAAACCATTTTCGTTATCCTCACGAATTGTAATTCTGTTACCATTTAATGAAGGATATGATTTCTGCAGTCAATATACATGTCATCTGTTCGATTCATGTTAATTCTTACATGCATGAAATTGATTGTACAATTAGCATAGATCTTCTAATGTGCTGAAACCAGCATAGATCTTCTAATGTGCTAAAACTAACATAGATCTTTTCATGTGCTCAAAAAATGAGCATAGATCTTCTGACGTGCTGAAACAACACCCTGATTAATTAACTCTATTTGTTGTTTGTACGATTTTATTTTTTCACTGAAAGTCTTCGATTCTATCATGTCGCGAACACGCATAAATTGAAATCGTGCTAGTTCAAATAAAAAGAACCTACGAATGAAATCCTCCACAAACAAATCTCTATAATCAATTGTAGATCTTCAAAACCTTGTAATCAATTTAGATTTATTAAAATATATATATATATATATATATATATATATATGTATATATATAAGATAAATTTGAGTTAGGGTTTCTGTGAGTAGAATGAGATAAGAATAGATCTTAGTTTTGGGGGAAGAACCCTCTCACCACAAAAAACTGCGATCTCTCTCCCTCCCTTGAATTTGTTACTGTTATCCTTCCTCCCTTTTACGACTCAACAATTATTTTATTTCTTTTTTTAACTATGAATTTATTTTTTTAATTTTTATATTTTAAAATGAAAATTAACATAAGACATTCATGGGTGAATAATTGAAAGCAATTAAAAAAATTAAAAATTATTTTGTACCTGTAACAAATTTCAAATATTTTTTTTCTCCTAGTTGATGTTTGTAACAAATTTCTAAGATATTTTAAATGAATAAAAGTGTATGAAAGACAAACTTTCACTCAAATACCAATATAAAATGCAGGGACATATTTAGTTATAAGAGAGTAGACTAGTTGTCCCACTATTTTTTTAAAATCATTTATAAATAAAATATTTTAAATCACAAATTATAAAAAAAATTAAAATATTGTTTAGAATAATTTTTAGCATGTGCAACACTACACGACTTTCTTTATAAAGAATGTCATTTTGATGAATTTCCAATTAGAGTGGTGGATGAACTTTCATCTTCTATCCGTTAATGAAAATCATAATTTTGAGCCTATTATTAAAAACCAGGAGCAAAAGGGAAAAAATGTTAATGCTTGGAGGACTAGTATTACTATGAATATGTAGGTAAATATTATTTAGAAGGACATTGTTAGTACCAAGAAATGAATTCGGAGATACTCGAAATACAGGGGTTCTCGAAATCTTAGGTGATCGAAAAATAGGAAAGAAATTTCTAAAGTGAAGACATACGAAGACTGAGGATACGCGAACAAGTTTTTCGTGATTCCCTCGAAATCCTTGAACCTTGAAGCTGCTGCTCATGAAAAAGGCTCGCAACCTCGCAACCTCTCAAAGTACAAGAAAAATCAGGAAACACTCAAGTATACTTTTCATAGGTCACTCGAAATCCCCGAGATCCAGACATACACAAGTATACTTCGCAACCTCTCAGAATGAAGAACTTAAAGGAGACATGATTAAGAGAGGTTGAAGTAAATCATGGGACAAATGTCAAGACTGCCACTACAAGAAAAAGTTAAATTTCCGACGGATAATTTCCCACGGACAAAAATCCGTCAGAAATTTCCCACGGATTTAGATCCGTCAGAAATTTATGACGGAATTTTCGACGGAAATTTAACTGATGGAATTTCTGACGGATTTAAATCCGTCTGAAATTTTCGACAGAATTTTCGACGAATTTAAATCCGTCTGAAATTTCTGACGGAATTTTCCACGGATTTAAATCCGTCTGAAATTTTCAACGAAATTTTCGACGGATTTAAATCCGTCTGAAATTATTAAATAAAATATAAGCCAATTATTTTTCAAATACAAGCAATCCTAATCCCATCGATACACACAACATGCACTATATAATATTTTCATTATTATATGGGTGTTTTCAAAATATAAATATATTGTAATGAATAAGATAAATATAAATCAGAGTGAGTGAGGTATGGCTTACCTATATATAATTATATGTTTAGGTTATTATAAATTATAAACTAATTAGCGTAAATGTGTTTTTTTTTTACTTATCTTGAAAAATACCAACTCATGACGTCCAAATTTAAGAATAACATATCTTTTCTTTAATTTTTAAAAATCACTCATCTCTTTGAAAATAACGTTATTAATTAAATAAGGGGAAAAAAAGTTAAATTATGTTCTGCAAATCATATATATGTATCTATCATTTATTTCTAAATTACATCCAATACTA